TTCTAGACCCTGTTTTACTGCTGCACTTTGTAAGTGTTGAGCTGTGGAATGAACTCTGCTGTCATGATAGAAATAGCATTCAAGTATAGTAAGAACCTCTGAGAAAAAACAGTTTCTTGATTAAGACATTGGTTTTGAACTCCAATGGTCAAGCTAATCCCCAGCTCTGCCACGGAGTTGCTGTGTAACCTACAGAAGAATTTCTCCCTAAATATTGAGCATCAAGACTGCTTAATTTTGGTGTCATTTCTGCTTCTCTGCATTGACTGTACAAGGAACTCAAGTCTGGCAGCATAGCTAATGGGCAGCCTGGGTCACTCACTGCTGTCTTGTCATGGTAGATATACAAAATAGTCTTAACTGTGGTCTTCAGCATCTCTCTTTCCTGTTTTGAAGCAAAGGAAGTGATGCTTTTTCTTTCCCATCATTCATCTTCCAACCTTTTAAGGTTCCTTGGACAAGAATTGCCTTTTACTCTGTTTCTTCATTGGCTGATATATGTGTATACACAAATAAATCATGCAGTATGTGTGATGATAATGTAAATGAGGAAGGTCTAGTTAGAAATAAATCTGTCCAAGCTAATTTTGACACAGTAGGTGGGACATTTTAGAGATAAGAAAGCACCTAGAGTTCCAGCAGGGAAAGGATGTGCTCATGCCAGAATCGGGGAGAGAGAAGAATTACCATCTGGTAAGCACACAGCTAGAGAAAGAGAAGGAGCTGACCACTTTTTAGGAAGCAAATGCAGCTTAGGATGGAAAGCAGAGTGTACAGAGACCTTCTTCAAAGAAAAGAGGACTATTCTGCAGGTTTAGAGTGACTGGAAGGTTCACTGCTGACCTGTGTAATGATTGAGTGATTTCATATTGTTTTCTCCTCTGCTTAAATAAACTAAAATGCTGCAAAAGAAAATGTTGAACAGCAGGATGATCTCTGTTTATTCACCTAGGTTAGAAAACTAAAAGACCAGTTGCCTTTCTATAAAATCTTCTCTATTTCCCTTAAATAAACATGCACAGCAAGTTTAAAATAGAATTTTCACCTTTCTGGGTTCTTACTAGGTATAATTGTATTTCTTTTAGTAGCTCTGTGAATGGTGGGCTCTCATTAGTCTTTCAGATGACTGATCAGGATGGAAGGAAATGGTGGTGAAAAAACAGGAGAACTAAACTCCATGAGGCTTAATGGACTGGGAATCATGGAAGTTTAAGCTAGTCAAAAAGCCTGTCTCCATGTATCAGCAAAATATGTAACTGTTTTGGATTTACAGATCGTGGAGGCTACCTGTGCTGCAGGGAGTTGTAGGATGTATTTGAGACGAGGTAGAATACTACCATATAGTGTAAGTGTTGCCGTAGTGTCCTGGTTTTGGCTGGGATAGAGTTAATTTTCTTCCTAGTAGCTGGTATAGTGCTGTGTTTTGGGTTTAGTATGGAAATAACGTTAATAACACACTGATGTTTTTTGTTGTTGCTGAGCAGTGCTTACACTAAGTCATGGATCTTTCAGCTTCTCATGCCCTACCAGCAAGTAGCCTGGGGGCACAGGGAGTTGGGAGGGGACACAGCTGGGACAGCTGACCCCAGCTGACCCAAGGGATGTGCCATACCATGTGGCATCATGCTCAGTATGTAAACTGGGGGGCAAAGCTGGCTGAGGGCCACTGCTCCGGAACTGGCTGGGCATCGGACTGTAAGTGGTGAGCAATTGCTTTGTGCCTCACTTGTTTTGTATAATCTAATGCTATTATTATTATTACTACTCTTATTATTTTCTTCCTTTTCTGTCCTAATAAACTGTCTTTATCTCAACCCAGGAGTGTTTGCACTTCTACCCTTCTAATCTTCTCCCCCATCCCACTGCAGAGTAGGGGCAGTGAGCAAGCAGCTCTGTGGTGCTTAGCTGCTGGCTGGGGTTAAACCAAGACACATGGAAAAATGAGTAAAGTCGTACGGTGAAAAGAAAATACATCTGCCTGGGAAATTTGCCATAGCGTGGGGAAAAAAATGAAAGTTGACTTTAATTGAAACAAGATCCAGTAGGGAAGCTGCTTAGGCCAATTTCAGATGCTGTAACTTGGCTGCTTTAACTCCAGTACTGGCCAGCCCTGTCACATTACTATTCAAAATATCTTCAAGATTGTGGCTTGTTGAATTGAGTCCTGGAGGGCAGCCAAGTGGCCTGTATCAATGGGAAAGGGCAGCAGCACAAGAAAAAGAGTCCTGGAGTATGGGACAGAGGTGGAATATGGCCCTTTGCCTGTGTGCTGTCTATCTTGGGTAGAACAATGGAGTGGGACATATACGTGCCCTCGCTAAGATGTGTTTTGTCTCTCCCAGAGAGTCGCAGGCACTTTGCAAGGTCTGTCAAACCAGCCTCACTCACTTTACATGGAATGGGGCATTGTACACTGTTGAACTCAGAGGAGCATGTCTCCTCATGCTTTGTGTTGCTGTTGCATCTGGTTATAAGCCGTCAAAGATAAATAAATGAGACCACCCCAAAGCCAAATCCTTAATCATGGTGATCACACCATATTCTGGAGGTCAAAACCCTCAAGTGCTGTTGTTCAGTGTTTGCCATTGAAAACTTCTCATTTCTTCACCAGGCACACACGGAGGCTGTTGTTCATACAAAGCCTTTTTAGAAAGGGTTCCTAGAAATGCACCAGTAGCTTGAGTTGCATTGGAGAGTCCTGAGGTAGGGGTGGAATTTGATGTGGTCATTCTGAAATATACACAGTTGGTTATTTTGCCCCAGTGAAAGCTTCCTGAAGCCTTTCAGTTCTTGTCCAGTGTCTTTTGAAGATCATAGTGTATCATCTTTAAGGATAAGAAAAATTTCTTCACAGAAAAGGTAATCAGGTGTTGGAACAGGCTTCCCAGGAAAGTGGTGGAATCACCGTCCCTGAAAGTGTTCAGAACCTATGTAGGTGAGGTCCTCACTGATATACTTTAGTGGTGGTCTTGGAACTCCTGGGGTAAAGTTGGACTTGATAATCTTAAAGGTCTTTTCCAACCTAACTGATTCTATGGTTCTATAAAGAGCATGTCCATATACAGTGTATTGCCGTGTACCAAGGGACTGAGGAAAAAAGCAAATCTCTTCATCTTCCTAAATATTCAGCAAGAGGTCAGGAAGTAACTGTAATGACAAGCTTTTTGTTAAGACAGTGAGCAGTGTGTTCCCTGAAAGATGCTCCTTGAGTTTCACTTCCATCTTTACAGCATTGCGGTTATTGTTGTTGCCCACATCCGGTTGGTGTCCTAGTTAGGTACAGGGAAAACTAAGTTACACTTCAAAGATGCAGTAAGAAATTTGGATGTACAACTGTTTATCTTATTAAAAATTAATTTGAAGAAGTGTAGAAATAAAGGAACAAAGATACTAAGTACCAGCTCATGTTTCTTCACTGGCAGATCCTGATACCTCTCCGAGATGTTTGCAATACATCTTAGCCAGATGATGAAAGACCAGATTAGACCATCTAAGACTATTGACCTTTAAAACTGAGCCCTTAACAAGAGAGTTTTTCTTCTGAATTTATCATGCTTTCTTCAAAGAACCATTAAGTATGAGTTTGGTTGCTTTTTTTTTTTCCATTTTAAAGGTTACATAGAGTTGTATCCAAATTAATGGAGTTTGGTTATGATGACATAACAGTAAATAAAACTGAATGTTAAGGAAACCATCATATACTAACCTGTAAGAAGTAAGAAAGCTGTTATGGTTCTTTTTCAGAACTGGGAGATTCAGATCTTTTCTCCACTGATTTTCTGCCCCTTGATATCTTATCTGTAAACCCAGTGTTAGAGGATATTTTGAGATACATAGGGATATAAGGGGAGGGAGGACTGCACTTACCCTCACGCTCAGTTCCCAGAATGAAGAATTTCCATAGAAGAGAGAGTTGGTTTGGAAAACTCCATAGTACAGCTACTAGACACAACAGAGGTTACAAGCTGTCATTTAGCAAATGACAGATAAAACCTGTAGCTGAAGACATCAAACCACCATTATAAGGTATTGCAGGAAGACTGGGGCATGCAAAGGTGTGAAGGGCATCACCCGTGTCCTAGTTTTCTGTGCCACTGGACAAGTGGTTAAATAAAAGTTGCAGGTGATGGAAGGAAAGAAGGAAACAGAGCATGTCCCATGATATGGAGAGCTATGGGGATTTGACCTGGGTGGGAAATACCTTTCTATCTGTAAATCTGGGTATCAAGTGAATTTTGAGGAGGTTCCCATCTTCCAAGAACTGAGAAATTGATACTGGTAGAAGCTCCTACAGATCCTGCTTGCGTACCGAATCTAACCACTTCTAAGAGAAATGCATCATAGCAAACCAACTGCACCAACCACAGCCACCCCTTCACTTGGTGGTCGGTAAAGCCAAGTTACAAAAACCTTACCTACTGCATGTGGTCCTATGATGCAGCTTTTTAAATACATAATAGTGAACCAAAGCCAATCCAGTCTTCCAAACATCCTTGAAAATACCAATTAATCAGTTACCCAAGGACTTGTACTGCAGTTTAATTCAGATTAATTAATTAATATTTGTTTCTTTAGACTACTGTGACCCTTGAGTGGCTAGTGAATTCTTAGTGGCTCCTCCTTTCTGTTCAGACTAAGCTCTTCAAGGCAGGGACTCTTTATGGCTGGCTGTGTATGATATCCAGAAGACCTGTACACAGATGTCAGAAATTTGTAAGCACTACTGAAATTCAATATTGGATGAAAGAAAAAAAAATACATTTAAAAATATTACTAGAAAGTTTTACAGGAAACAGTGATTTCTAGTCTAAGCAGCAGTTTTGTATGAATATATAGATTTTATGCCCTGTAGCTTTGCCCTCTGCTAAATATTGCTGGGGAAGAGAATTCACTGATATTGCTGCTTGCTTACTTGTGGCCTGAACTTAGAATGCAGAGTCACAGTCTGGGTTTGTTGGATTTTTCTTTTCTTCCTTTTTTTTTTCTCTTTGTCCTGACAGAAAGATTTCGGGATTTACTGCTTCTACATTCCAGTCAAGATACAGAGATTCTGCCCATCTTTCAGCAGAGGCGCTATCCCAAGTAAGTAAGATTGTCTTCTTGGGAGAAATACATTCTTTATCTATTTGCGGCAAGGGACACTGAAGCATTTATAGCACTGTACATGCTTTTGGTGTGAAGTCCTACAGCAGAGCTGTCAGGGAGCCACACTTGCACTAAGCTTTGCAGGCTTTCAGTGGTGTCAGGGAGAAGCAGACGTGCTTTGCAAGTGTGCCCAGCTGTCAGCGGGGAGGTGGTGACACAGCGCAGACATTGAGTTGCCTGGATCAGTGTCTGGTGGAGCTTTGTTTCACTTGACACTGTGTTGACATAGGCAGATGTTTTGTCAGGCTAATCCTCACACTTGTCTTGTGGGATTCCATCATTTAGGGTGACAGATTCCCGTGGGTTTTAAAAGGCTCCCCTCTGGAAGCCTGCAAACACTAGAAAACATTTTTTTCCTGCCCTTCTTAGGGATATATGGACAGGCAAACCAAAAGAGGAGTGTTATGTGTTTAGGTCATGCATGTATGGAGTATCCTGGACAAAACATCTTCTCCCAGGTGACATACCTGAACAAAACAATGAATATTCCTTGTTATATTGGTTAGAAGAAGCAGTCACTTTCAGCTAGTTCTTGAAAAGAGGCAGTTAAGGGGGAAGAAAGGGAAGAAGAAAAATAACTAGTCCTCACACTAGCCATGTCCAGAGCGAGCAATGAAAGAAGACTAGTGCAGGATGGACAGGGGAAGGAGAAGAATGGAAAGTCTGGAACTAATCCAGCAACGGTACTGGAAATAAGCAAAGTTATTTATTTTAGTGATTATTTCCTGAAATACGTGAGAAGCCAGTGGAACTAAGTGTTAAATACAGCTCTTCAAATCTGATAATAGGAATTTTCTGAAGAACAGGTAACAAATAGAGGGGCTGAATGCTGAAAACCAGTCACCTCCTCACTGTGGATTCTTGAAAATAAAAGCAATCAAGGATGAAATCCTGATTCTGAAAATGGTGAAATTTTGCATTGGCTTCAAGGGAGACAGGATTTTATCCCCTTGAATTTATTGTTTGCATTATCTATTGCCACTGTTTTACTTACTGTGAAGGTATGATATATGAAACTGTGGGAGATGCCTTAGGTGGATAAACTGGTCTACTTGTTTCAGTAGTACTTCTATCAATTATTATTTTTCTCTCATGCTTCAGAGCACTGGAATAGTTATTTTTCCATGCTAGGAGAACACTTTGCTTGGCATAGATGTTTTCATTTATGGTATACACACTGTCAAACTGGTCTGAGAAACTACTTTATCATACTTTCTCAAAGAACACACTTATTTCTATATAAATCATTCCTAAGGTGTCTGACTTTTCATTTCTTTACATTCAATTTATTACAAACATTCTTGGCAAGTACAGCCTACTAGCAATATTACACATTGTCAGATTCATGGGTGAACGAGTGCCTGTTGCCTTCTGTTCAATGGATGCTTCAGCCCTTTGAAGACCATACAAAAATAGCTTATATTGTGGAGCTTTGCTCCTATTTGAAGTTACAGTGGCCTTGCATCCCAAGATGATACATGTTTTCAGACACATTAGTTGGTGAGATTGACTGATTCCTCTAATAGACAAAATCAGCCAAACTTTGGCACCTAACTGAAAAAGAAGTTTGCATATCTTCTTTAAAACAATAGATTTCTGTTCATAGCATCATTGATTGGTGCGAATTTGCTTGCTTGTTACAGAAATTTATCATGTGTTATAGTTCACTTAGAAGCTGGTTGAAGACTATAGACATGTCCTAGTTTCCCTAGAGGTTGTCTTTCAAGTGAAATATTTGTGTTCAGCAAGGCAGAAAACCTGTTCATCTTCATAATATATTTTGTCTTAATCCCCATGTCAGTTTTTGTCCCTTCCCTATGCTCATTTTCATTGAAAGGTCACTTAACAGAAATGAAGGTAATGAACAGACAGATCTTATAAATCAGTTTCCTTTCATTGACTTCATCTGAGCAATGGTTGGTTGTACTATGTAAGGATCTGAGCAGTAAGCCCATTCTAATGAGAAACTGTCATGAGGCACAAGGTGGAACTTGTAATGCTTAAGGAAATCCTAAGAATATGGAAGGTAAAACCCCAGAAGTTTTAGTAATGACTTAGCTGTGTAGCTTGACTAAGCAGGGTTTAATAAGTAGAAAAGACAAAAGTTTGCACATATTGAAGAGACATGCCCAAAGGAAGGAGATTGGATAGGAAGATATTCTGCATTTCTCAGGACATTCAGAGCCATAGTAATAAATATTAAAGCCTAAATGGGTGAACTGTAATCCATCAATTATTGAAAGAAATAGAAACCTTGATGTTCTGGCCTGAATTATGTTCTTGTACATTTATTATATTACAACCTGAACTCTTTACCAGGGAAGAGCAGGATAATACTGGGGATGTGTTTGTTCTCAGAGAAGATGTCTGTGCACTGAAACGGCTGGAAGACGTTTTCTAGAATATGCATGCACATTGTTTTGCTGGGGTAAATATGTCAAAGAAGCACACTTTGCACTTCTGGCTAATGAAAGGAGGAATGCAGGGTCTTTTTATGTATTTGCCTGGGTTTATTCTGCTGGTCTTGGCTTAGCCAAGGAGCAAATACTCTGGCACATGGAGATTATTGCGCAAGTCTGAGCTTACAAAGATGAAGGCTTATAAAGCCACATGGCACACCACTTTTTGAATTCTTTGACTTAGCATTGTGTCCCCACAAGTAGTGTGACATCACGAGCATCAATTTTCATCGTGGCCTGTGGGCTGAGATCCAGTGCTATGCCAGCACATCGGCACAGCATCCAGCCAACCAGCCCAACCTGCGATACATGTTCTCTAGCTTTTCTTTACAAGGCTGCAGAGCAGAAGGAGCTTGGCTTTCTCTTACACCTCACTCACATCACAACGTAACTTTGTCTTGGAAAAGTTGTAGTTATTGGGGAAGGAATATGGAATTATGTTCGCCTGTAAATGCCTATAGAATCATAGAATAGTTAGGGTTGGAAAGGACCTTAAGATCATCCAATTCCAACCCCCCTGCCATGGACAGGGACACCTCGCACTGAACCATGTCACTCAAAGCTCTGTCCAACCTGTCCTTGAACACTGCCAGGGATGGAGCATTCACAACTTCCTTGGCAACCCATTCCAGTGCCTCACCACCCTCACTGTGAAGAACTTCTTCCTTATATCTAATCTAAAGTTCCCCTGTTTAAGTTTGAAGCCATTACCCCTTGTCCTACCACTACAGTCCCTAATGAAGAGTCTGTAGTAGTTTTGTAATGAAATATATTACACTGCACATAGTTACAGGTTACTGAACTGGCAAGACCATTCTAATCCACGCAGGTCTTTTTGATACCTCAAGTGTCTGTCAGAGGATGAAATACATGGTTCAGAAATCAGACATCACCAAACCCCCCTCATCCACCTCATTAGAAACCCACCCATCCACAGAGAGAAATGCTGTGAGGAGAAAATCTGTCTGCTAGCTCACATGAAGCCATCGCCATGTCCGCGAGGATTCACATTCCTGACACTAAGAATAAACTTGCAGCTGTGGGCAGCCAGATGGATTGGGGCACCTAGCTGTCTCCAAGTGTATCTGCCTGGGAAGAGCCTCTGCATGTGAACCAAATCCCAGACAGACTTCCCACTCGCTCCTTCTCTCCCTATCTCCATGAGCGTGCTGAAGTCACCAAGGTGAGTTACCCCAGCACAATCAGGCCTGCCAACAAACTAAGTTGTTGCAGTGAGTCTTATCCTGACTCATTACTTTGACAGTGATCGTTGTAGATCCTATATCTCATAAAAAAACACTTCAAGATTTCACTCTTAGCATATTTCTGCAGGAGTTTTTCTCATGCTGGTGTCAAGCTCATGCTTTCCTTGGTTGCCCACTTCATTGATGACATTCCTAATATTTTATTGCTTGGATTTTTTTATACATTTTACTCATAAAATACATTTTACTCATCAAATGCAATAACTACTAAAGTGCTGACACAGGCTACAGAGGATTGCCTCTGAAGAAGACTTTATTATGGTCCTTAATTGGGCTTTAGGGTCCAACATGTGACAGGGTGGTTGGTGGTAGCAGCAGGGGCGCAGATTGCTCCATCCCATCAGGATTGATTGGTCTTTTCCTGCTGCCCT